AGGGCACCAGACCTCATTACAGATGGTTGTGAGCCACCATGTGGTTGCCGGGAATTGAACTCAGAACCTTTGGAAGAGCAGGCAGTGCTCTTAACCACTGACCCATCTCTCCAGCCCTTGATTTCCTTTTTGAAATACAAAAATACACAAAAGCAAGTGTGTGAACCATTACCTGGTCTTCAATCGCGATCTCTGTCCCCAGAGTGTTATCGGTGTTCCATTTCTCTGTGAAAGTCAGACCATACTCACACCATTTGTATTTGGTCTCCAAGGTCCCGCTAACTTTACCAGTGTCCGTGTTAGATGAACCAGATGTTGAAAATTCCTAATAAGACAATAAACAACCTCATGAACCCTCCTTCTCCTAAGCCTGGAAGAAACCACTGCCTAATTTATAGAACATTCTATCTTTATCTTAAGCTACTTCCAAAGCAAACCCAACAGTGAAGAATTACCTCCGACCGACTGATGCCACTACAATGCCACCTAACGTTTCTACCTAGTCAATAAAGTCAGACATACAGGGCTGCTGAGATGCTCACTGGATAGAAGAAAGGCTTACTGTCAAGCCTGATGACTTAACTTCCATCTCTAAAGCCTACATGGCAGGAAGAGAGGACAGAGTTCTGCAAGTTGCCCTCTAACCTCCGCCCACATGACCCAAGTATGCCTGCACATACACATAATCTTCACACAAAATGTGAAAAATTGTAAGTAAAATTTAAATTCAACAATCCAAATAGTCTATTTTTCTTTTTTCTTTTTTTGGGGGAGGAGCCAATACAATGGCTAGTTTATTGGAGGGAAGTTTTCCATCATATTCTGAAAAGTTAACTCAGGGCTCAGAGGGCCAGTTGGTGGGGCACCAGCTGATAATGGGTTCCACTGCTTGGGCACCGCTGAGTCTCGCCTTTGTGCAGCCAAAACCAGATGACGGTACAGTTGTCCTCTTCACAGATGCAGCCCACTATCCGCTTGTTGGTGATGGACGGGACTAAATTAGGATCTTCCTTGGTGCCCGAAGCTGCCTTTGGAGGTAGCATATTGTATGGATCCAGTCCCTTCTGTGAGGCTATCATGATCTCCCTCTCCAGCCCTGTAGCCTGCTCCTCATCAGTAGGGACACCACCTCTAGAAGCCGTGGAGTGCGTCGCAACCGTGCCATGGGGCCCGCGGGCCCTCAGGGCCTGAGCCGCCAGAGTGCCCACTCCGCAAAGTAACCTTGAAGCCATCTCGCCGGAGACCTTCTTTTTTCTTTTTTAAGGAATTATTTTTATTTGCATATATGTGAATATGAAGTATAGATGCCATGAAGGCCATAGGAATCTGATTTCCCTGAAACTGAAGTTACAGGTGGTTGTGAGCCACCATGTAGGTGCTTGGAAATGAACTAGGGTCCTCTGCAAGAACACCACCCCCTCTTAACTGCTAAGCTAATCTCTCCAGTACCTCTGTTTTTTGGAAATGAGTCTTCACTAGGTTTCACGCCTTTCCAAACAACTTTCAAACCATATTTTTACTGTTTTTTGTTGTGGTTTGTTTCACTATGTGGCCCTGGATGTCCTGGAACTCACTTTGTAGACCAAGCTGGCCTGATCTACCTGCCTCTGCTTCCCTAGTGCTGGGATTAAACATATACACCACCACACCTCACCCAACCCACCACATTTCCATGGGGCCGGATAGATGGCTAAGTAGTTAGGAGCACAGAGGACCTGGGTTTGATTCCCAGCACGCACAGGCAGCTAAGTCTAACTCGAGTCCAGAGTATTTACCGCCTCTGTGGGTACTGCACACACTTGGTGCAGATACACATGCAGTCAAAAAAACAACCATACACATAAAATAAAGTCTTTTTAAAGTGGAGTAAAAGAGCTTCTTGATTTTTATCACACATATAAACTATGTATGTAGTAAGCAAAAAAAAAAAAAAAAAAAAAAAAAAAAAAAACAAAAA